ATGGTCAATGTTTGGATGAAATCAAAATTTTTAGAAACAAATTTGGTCCAAAGAGACTTGGGTTCTAGAACCAATATTTCGATGAGGGACATTTTCGCCGTGTCAAAGTTTATACACCCTCATTAGCCATAAGGCTGAGGTTATAATTATCCACTAAAAAATTCTAAAATTTGTATTATGGTTTACATAATCGTTTTGTAGAAATGTCTGTATAGGTCACTTTTTTTTTTTTTTGTTTTTTTTTTCCAATATTTTCATTTCAAGTACCTGTCAGTATATCTATGGTGGAGGGTATCCCAAGTTCGTCCCGGCCGAACTTAACGGTTTTTCACTTGTTTTTTCTTTTTTAGTTAGAAAATAACGAAGATCTTGACCGATTCCATGTTTCCTAAGCCATACAATAGCTATTAATGTGTTTAAATTTGAAACCAATTGAATTAATAGTTTTTGTTTTATCGTGTCCGTCATTCGTAAGAATAATGGTTCGAGAAAAAGGCCTTTAAAGTTTGAGAGCACTCTTGATGCTAACGCAATAAATCGACTATATATTCAAGAGTTATTAAGATTTTCTCTTGAAATGTTAGTGAGATATTCTAGAATAGTTGTAGGTTCATATTGAATAAAAATGAAAACAAAAAAATAAATTATTTGAAACCGAGAAAGGGGGTGGGGTTCCTCAAATGCTAAATGCAAACGCATGCCATTTACTTAATCTTATTATGTTTATTTTAAATGCAATAAGTATTCGATTAGATATAGAATCATTATGTGATATTACGTGACATACTCTATAATAGGTATTGTGAGGCGTTTCAATAAAAATTCCTTAGGAAATTTAAAAAATCAATAAATAAAAACAAACCTAAGAACCTAAGTAAAGTACAAACCTTACAAAGTTGTATGTAGGTCGAAAATGTCGCCTGTATCTCGTGTAGTATATATAATATAATCGGAGACCACCAAAATTTATTATCGATTTAGCCAAGACAGCTTTGAAATCACGATGGAGTTCGAAATATGTTATATTTTAAAGCTCTCGCCTTAAACATGTAGGACGTTGAGTCCTTCCCCCAAAATTCTATACTTTGGGCACATTTTTAATGACTGTGTGACGATGTGTTTTACACTTTTAAGATGGAATATGTTCAGCAAGGGCCAAGGTAGCCAAAAGAATTTATTTCCGCTGTGGAACCGTTAAGAGAGAGAGAGGAGCGCACTTTTAACATTTAAAAACGAGATTTTTCGACTAGTAAACTATACAACCCATTTAACTTTTTGTTGTTCTTTATCAAACAATATGTATCTGAGGACGGGAGAGCTTTTGATATTTTGTTTTAGAAGTAGTTAATTTTGACACGAGATTATGTGATGAAAAGGAGCGGCGTCTAAGGAACAAATATAATTTAGGACAGTTTGCAGATGTGTTTCAATTATAGCTGCGTGGTCGACATTTATTGCACGCAGCTTCGAACAGTGGCAACCCGATTAACTGTGAAGCACAGCAACAGCCTGATGTCAGGTGACAGTCCCGGTGGTTGGCGACAGCTTGGTACAGCGGCAGGCCGACGATGGTGATAGCACCCAAGGATTGGGGCAGCTAGACACAGCGACAGACCGATGTTTCGCCTTAAAGCCAAAGGGTTGATTACTCAACCTCACTTGACCCAGACGACAGCGATGAACTCCCTTCGGTTCCAGCCGAGGGCTCGTTTAGACAGCAACTACTTCACTGGTAGCCGCTGCTGGTGGCTGATTGTTAACCCAATGTCCGCTTATTATGTTTACCACTTTGATTTGGATACGAAAAATATGAACGGTGTCTGAGGTTGAACTAAGAGTGTTGTGGCGAAGTTTTGGTGTGTGGGTTGTAGTCAGGTTTAATCACGGTAAAGGTGGGCGGATCGTAGTTGTTACTCCGTTTAACGAACGATGACGTTACTCCTATCTGTTTCAGTCGAGGGCTCGTTTTTCAACCTACTCGTTCAGATAGCGACTACCGCACGGCGATTTCCGCTGGTAATTACTACTCAGTTATTGCAATTGGTAACCGAGGACTCGTTTTTAAATCCCACTTAGTCAGACAGCCACGACTACTTATCTATTTTTAATGGTAGCCGAGGGTTCGTTTTTCAACCCCACTTGGCTTGACAGCAATCACCAGCTGACGGCTGTCCCGATTACCATTTTTATTTCATTTCAACATTGTCATTTATTTAAAAAAAATAGTTCATTGTACAGTATTCTTAATGGCTACAGTATAAAATCAAACTTTAAATCTAAAATGATAAAGTATTTCATTTTATTCATTGTGGTTTCTATGAAAACCAAGTTACCAACTCCAACAGCTGCCATGCATCCCCAGACCATCACTGAATCTCCGCCGTGTTACAGTTTCAAAATTGCCATTTATTGAAAAATTTTTGTACAGGTTTACTTTATCTAAAAACTTCAAATTCGCTAAATATTATATTATTCCAGAAGGAAATATCTTTATTATTATATTTATTAGCAAAATCGAGTCGACGTTTTTGGATATTTTCTTGGAACCCTTCCATGAATTCCGTTTCAGACGATTCTGAAATTTCTTAGGATATTTTAACGACACTTTCTACTGGGGTTTTCTTTACATTTCGTACAATCGATCGTATTTGAACCTCATTAAGTTTTGTTGGGCTGCCACATTTAGAACGATTTTCCAATTTGTGGAACTTTTTATACTTATCCATTGTTTTTTCACCGTATTGTGGCACCTGCCGATAGTTAAACCAATTTCACGCAGTGTTTTTCCCTCATTGTGAAATTTTTTGATAATATGCCCATCATGCAGACATCGATTCGGTTGAAGTCGATTGCATTGTAGATGTTCCTATTGGCTGGACGTCTATAAATTCCAATGATGTTGCCAATATATTTCTTTCCCACATTCGAATCCTTCCAATTTGGACTGACAATATGTCTGCCGATGCAGCAAAGGAGAGTCTCTAATAGGCAAAGTCCATCCTTTTGGCCTTTGAAAGCACATAATTCACATGGCGACTGAAGTCGAAACTTTTGTGTAGGATGATCTCGAGGTATTTCAAGTCTCTGATGACTTCATATCCAACCTTTATAATTGGAATGTAATTTCGGAAGCTCTTCACAGTGGACTTGGGTTTGCCCTTGAAAATCGATACACACTTTCCAACATTGAGTTTAAGTCCCCATTTGTAGAAGTAGTTGTAAAGTGTTTCCATGTACACATTCAATCTTCTTTTCACGGTGCTTCCAAAACGGTCTCTTAGAACAAGTAACACATCATTAACGTATGTTAAAAGAAGCCCTCTTTCAGACGGCTCCGGTATGTCGCATACAAACAACTTGTATAGAACCGGTCCCAGTAGTGATCTCTGCAGTTGTTTCCCTCTAAGCATGGAGTGGAGTTCTTCGTTGCACTCCAGGTATCGCTACACTATTCCATTTCCCGCAAGCTGGCTCCTTTCCAAGTTGTTGACCGAATCGATTGCATTGCATATGTTCCTATTAGCCGGACGTCTATAAATTCCACTGATGATGCCAATATATTTCTTTCCCACATTCTAGTCCTTTCCATTTGGGCTGACAATATGTCTGCCCATGCAGCAAAGGAGACTCTCTGATAGACAAAGTTAATCTTTTTGGTCTTTGAAAGCACATAATCCACATGGCGACAGAAGTCGAAACTCTCTGATAGACAAAGTTAATCTTTTTGGTCCTTGAAAGCACATAATCCACATGGCGACAGAAGTCGAAACTTTCGTGAAGGATGATTCCAAGGTATTTCAAGTCTCTGCTGAATTCATTTCCAACCTTTATGTTATATTAAAAGCAGCCCTCTTTCAGACGGCTCCGGTATGTCGCGTGCGAAAAGGTTGTATAGAACCAGTCCCAGTAGTGATCCCCGCACCCTGCTTTAATCGTTCGCTATTCTGACATCTTATCTTCTATGGAGTGACCGATTGTGCACATTGTAATATTTTTTTTAATAATTAAATCAATTTCGACATTGGGGATTATTGGTCCACTCCTTTTGGTATACGAAGGGTCAAAGTTTTGAGAATTTGTAAATCTCATATGAAGCGAACGGAATATCCAAATTTCATTAAATGGAACACATCGGTCTCTTCTTTTTTACTTTTTAAAGATTTGATAGTTTTTCCATTTACGTCGATTCACTTCCGGGATCTATTCTTAACTAGCTGCGTTAAACATATGATTAGTCACTGAGGGCTACCCAATAAAATTTCTTATCGAGTTGCTAACCTTGATTTGTATTTTAGTTTATATTTCGACTGATAGTTCTAAAATAAAAAAAAAAAACTTCGTGAAATTCGGTTTAGTAGACTACAGCCAACGGACTTTACTACCAGCTGCGATCGATACGATTGATATGGATTATCAAAACCTTAATCGGCTATTGTAACAACAATGTCTGGACATCAGTGATATGTGTGTTTATTTCTATTTCAAACAAATGTTTGTTAATAAATTTCCAATCATACAGTATTCAGTAGGGCATTGCGATAGTCGTCGAAAGAGTAAAAGTGAAAGTGTGATAAGCGGATTTTTTTTTTGAAATCAAAAAAAAAAAATTGAAAATACTTCACAAAAATATAAATACACGCAATGCATTCAACTTTCATCAATTGCCAATTGAGATATTCTAAATTTGAAACGAAAAATATTCAAATAATCCGATAAAGATTTACTAGGTGAACCCAGTGGGGTATATTCCATTATCAACGCAAAATCAAACAAACAAAAAATTGCATTTAAAAAAAATATTATGCTCGTATTTAACTGTTTGACACAATAACAAAGATTAGTAGTTGGCTGAAAACTTTTTGGCAGCGAACAACCAAAAACCAGGGCCACAATTGTTTTTAATAACATTTTTTTTAATATTCAAATTGGAGTGCTGATCGAATTTTTTATTTGAAGTGAAAAAAAAATCGAAAAAAACATATTGAAATATTCAAAATAAAAAAATGTGTTGCAATTGCTGTAGTGTAAAACAACAGAAAATATGGGTTTTCTCAATTGGTACCATACTAACTGTGCTGGGTGCTATAATGATACCCTTTTGGCCGACCTGGTCCGATGATATTGTCAAATCGGTAAATAGTGAAAAATTTATTTATAAGAAAAAAATGTTAAAATAAGTAAAGATATAAAAAAATATATATTTCGCGGCGTTACAAACATTTGGGGCTGCACAAAGCTATAATACACTGACAACATAGTTGTGTAGGGTGTAAAAACATTCAAAAAAACGTCAGTCGTTGTTGCCGACATATACAGTGTCTAACAAAATAAAGCTAACGGAAAAAGTAAATTTAAAGAGTATATACTATATACTTAAAAACGGAAAAAAGTACGAAGATAATTCTACGCTGGATTTTCTATAATTCAAATTTAGTAAACAAAAGCGTGAAAAGCAGAAAGAAAATCTATCTAAATATTTTGCCCGCCACTGTATGGTTTTCGAAGGTTTACGCAATTGCTGTATAGTAACAAGTTAGAGTTCCTTCTGTATAACTAAAATTTTTTAAAATTGTGGAAAGTGTGGATTTTTATACCCTACAGAACTATGTTGGCAGGGTATTATAGCTTTGTGCAGCCCCAAAAGCTTGTAACGCTGCGAAAAAATGATCCTAGACCCACCTTTAAGTATACCGATCGTCATATCTCGACTAGCTGAGTCGATCTAGACATGTGTGTCCGTCCGTCCATTATAATTTGTAAACACGACACAGGCCACAGTTATGGACCAATCTTCATGAAATTTTGCATGGAGGATGGGTTCTGGCCAATGAAGACCCCTATTGTTTTTGGGAAAGATCGGTTAATATTTAGGAGATGAAATGGACCAAATATTAAATTTTTGTCGGGTTTTCTGGTCGCTCCAGAGGCCGCATTAATGAAAATAATAATGAAATTTTGCATGGAGAAGGGGATCGGGCCAAAGAATAAGCATGCCTGTTTTGAGAAAGATCGGTCTATATTTAGCGGGTCAAACGGACCCTGACTTTTGTGTGAAAAATGACAAAATTTGTATTCTATAGCGTATACATTTACCCCTGAAGGACATATACCCGAGAAGTTGATATTATATCCAAGAGGAGTGGTTGACCTTTAAATTAATACCCATTATATTGTTGTATGTGCTCGGATGTGGGAGTTACACCTAAATATTTACAGATATCTCCGTATTCGTATATTATTTAGTAACCCATTGCCACACTAGAGGGCGGAACTACAGCGCTCATCGCTTTGAAATTTTCCATGAGGTTCCAGTTATGGTCAAGGACAATGCCTATAATTTTCGGTGATGATCAGATAATAATTTTGGAATGAAGTGGACCGAAAACTTAGTTTTTTGTGTTATTTTCGAGTCGATCTATAGACCACAATTGAAAGCCGAACATCACAACACAACCCACGGCGAAGGGAATCTGGACAATAGCTGTACTGAATACTCGTAATATTCGGAAAATTTGTCAGTGTGAGGAAGAGGTGTTGTTTACCTCTAATCGGGCAAGAGGGTGCAAATATCACGAAATATTTCCCAGGCTCGGAATAAACATCCGCAGAAAATTTGAGTTCCGTGGTAGTTGTGTAGGGTATCGTGTGGTCGACTATACTGCTCCGCTCACTGGTTAAAGAACATTTTTTGGAGGACTTATAAAAGGAGTGGATTTTTAAGGCATTGATTTTTAAAAAGAATATTTGTCAAGCAGAAGATTTTTAAAGAATATTTTTTTCAAGTTACCATCATGGCGGACGGACATTTGTAAATCGACTCCAAATTTTCTGAAACTGTTTTGATCCAAAGAAACCTGATGTCCGAAAACCATAATTCGATGAAGCATATGTTTGCTGCAGCAAATACCATAACCAGTGAGCGTGGCAGGGACATGAAATCGTAATTAAATATGTGACCTATATTTTAATATGAACCGACTTCAATCAATCCAAACACATTTTATTTTCAAATCTGTGCTAAATTTCATGCCAATTCTCTACCTCAATCTGAACCGATTTTCACCAATTTCAATGATATGTGTTAAATTTCACCTCAAACTGTAGAATGTAATAACCAATTCATCATCAACACATGAGGATAACACAAAACAAGAATTTCAGGAGAAGCGCCATCCGGAGAAAAATTACAATATTAACCCTTTGAGCACCGAATTTTTTTCCGTAATCATAGATCAATTTTCTGTTCACAGATTTAATGCAACTATCCTAGATAAGATATGGACAAAATTTGGCATCGCTACATCCTTGCATTCGGGAGATACAGTACATTCTTTCTGAAAATTAAAAGCCCAATATCAAGAAAACCAAATGCAAAATCGACGAAAAAATCATTTAAAATTATTTTATATATTCTGTTTTACAAGAAACAATAATAATTCTGACGGCAGAATTCGTATATTTCGAATACGATGCGATTTAAATAATTTGGACTGTATACACAAATTAGTACTGTACACATTTTTGCCTTCTTCTCTATATTAAAAAGCTCATAACTTTACCAAAAATTTGAATTTTTTAGATTTTTCTTGTGATATGTGTCGTCCATAATCAGGTCTTGACATATGAAATCCAAACAATATATATCTACTAGCAGTATATTAAATATAAGCGTTAAAACATTTTGTTGCCTGTGGGCAACATTGGGCCACAAAGGGTTAAAAAGAGCGAGGACACAAACTACGGTTCAACATTTAAGAATTCGTTGTTTCTAGGAATCTACAGGTGATACCTACATGATGATAACACAAAGTTAAGAATGTTAGGAGCCAAAACATGAAAATTGTAACACTATATAAGCAAATATCACAAACACTGCAATATTCAAGGGACGTTGTTTCTAGGCAACGGCAGGCGGCAGTTCCGTCACTTAGGACAAGCTACACAGACCTAAAATTTACTTAGTGGGAATAGAAACAGTTGAATATTAAACGGAATTCACGCAATAAATAAGAAACACCTCCCATCAATGCGTAAGATTTAAGGAGACGTTATTTCTACACAACACTAGATGGCAATTCCATTCCCAAAGACTAAATGGGACCAAATTAATACTTATCTGGAATATAGACAAAGAAACGATTAATGATTCTAACAAAAGGACTAATCGAGTTGTCGAAGCCTTGCTGTCGTTGTTTCTAGGAATCTATAGGTAGTACATCCAGGATGATTACACAAACAATTATAGGATCTAACGCCACCTAGAGGAAAATGACAATACAACATAAGCTACGATCACAACCACTACAAATTTCAAAATGAGCGAGGACACCAACTACGGTTCAACATTTAAGAATTCGTTGCTTCTAGGAATCTAGAGATGATAGCTACATGATAATAACACAAAGTTAGGAATGTTAGGAGCTAACGCCAAACCATGAACATTGTAACACTACATAAGCAAATACCACAAACACTGCAATATTCAAGGACGTTGTTTCTAGGCAACGACAGACGGCAGTTCCGTCACTTAGGACAAGCTACACAGACCTAAAATCTACTTAGTGGGAATAAAAACAGTGGAATATTTAACGGAATTCACGCAATAAATAACAAACACCTCCTATCACTGCGTACAATTTGAGGAGACGTTAACACCACATAGAGGAAAATGACAATACAACATAAGCTACGATCACAACCACTACAAATTTCAAGTGACGTTGTCCCTAGGCAGCGACAGATGAGAGTTACGTCACATAGGACAAACTACACAGATCCATAATCTAGTTAGTGGGAATAAAAACAGTGGAATGGTTAGCGAATCCAACGACCATAACCAATCGATCTTAGTCTCCTTTGCGACAATGATCAATAATAAATTCGAAAGTACTCCCACCACTGTTTAAAAGGAGACGTTGTTTCTAGGCAAAAATAGATGGCAATGCCATCCTCTACGACGGGATAATGCGGGCCAATTTATTACTTAGCTGGAATATAAATAATGAAAAGATTAATGACACTAAATTGAGTTGGCAATGCCTTGCTCCCTAGAGAATATCAAAGTAACTTTTTGATTTTACTCTCAGTCGCGGTAATGCGCAATAATAAATAAGCAAGGACTTCAACCACTACACAACATTCAAGGAAGCGATGCTTCTAGATAACGATAGATGGCAGCGACATCACTTAGGACAGACTACAGATGCCTAATCATCAATTATTAGAAATTATTAACAAATCTAATACAAGGTCTCATCGAGTAGATAGCGTAGCTTTGGGGAACCATATGATTCTAAGATGAATACATTCACTGTCATTTACGGCAGTGCGCAAGTCTAAGACAGTTTAGATTACACCAATTATATACTTACTTGGAATTGAAAACTGTAAAATAAATAACGAAACTAACACAAGGACTAACTGAGTTGGTGATGCCTTATCGAAGGCCTATGTTGCCACGCGGAAAAATAGGAGAAACAAATCAATTTTTAATCTTAATATTCATTGCGGTAAAACTAAATAGACATTGACCCCAATACTGCACAAAATTAAAGAAAACGTTGTTTGTAGCCAACGATAGATGGCAGCCGCATCACCTAGGAAAAACTACAGCAGATCAATTATTTATTTTGCTAGAACAATATCAGTAAATTAAACTAGCACAAGGACTAATCGAGTAAAGATGGCGATGATTTGTGTAAAAGCTATGCTCTCAAGATAAGTAACCAGATCAAATCTAAAGAGGTCAGGACTTCAACCAATGCACAACATTCAAGGAGGCGTTACTTCTAGGTAACGGTAGATGGCAGCTGTATTACCATGAACCAATTATATACTGGACTGTAATAAGAAACTGTGAAATTAATAACGAAAGTAACACACAGAATAATCGATAAGTGGCGATGATTTGACGAGGTCCAATGCTTTCAAAGAGACTAACAGCATAAGCTAGGACCCAAACCAGTGTGCAAAATTAAGGAAGGCGTTGTTTCTAGACAACGATTGATGGCAGTTACATCGCCTAGGGCAGGCTATCGGTTAAATAAAAAAAGTCAAAGACGCTGCGAAACTAAAGATGGGAATGCTTTATGGAAGCTCCAGGCTCGCAAGAGAACTAGCTTGAAAAAAAATAAAAGTTGATTAAAATAGTAACGACTCCAACCACTGCACCGAATTCAAACATGAGTTGCTTCTATATTACGATAGATGTCAGTTGCATTATCTAGGATGGGTTACAGCAGACTCACATAGTGAGAATAATCGAGTAATATTATACTTTGTTAAGACCCCATGATCCCAAGAAGAGTAACATGAGAAAAAACGACACTATTCCTGATCTAAATGACCTAAGGGGGTCGAAATATTTAAGATAGAGCTGTGAAATTTTGCACATACATTGTTACTACTCTCTGGAAGTTTGCTATAGAAAATATGATATATCGGACCACATCTTAGGGTAGCGGCCATTTATTCTGCATTTTGAAGCTTTTGACACATTTTCAACCTAATGACTAGTAATTTGAGGGTTTCACTTGGTGGAAAATCTTTCAATATTGGTTCTCTAGTTAGGATTAAGAATTTTGAATGAACACCAAATGCTGGAGGGTATAAAAAGTTAGTACCGGTCGAATTTAATAATATTTTTTTATTCATATTTAAATCTTCCTACAATACCGAAGTTTCGTGGTAGAGCTAACGGGAGCTTCAATTATACGATATTTTAGAGATTTGACCGATATAGAAATTTTAGGGAAGTTTTGTCTTAAAATTGTACTTATTAATTTATTTTTTCAGATGATGTCATTATCTCCCGGCTCGATTATCTACAACAAATGGGTTGTCACACCGTTGCCAGTTTATATGAGCTTTTATATGTACAATTGGACAAATCCCGAAGAGGTGTATAATCCCGAAGTAAAACCAAATTTCGAAGAAGTTGGTCCCTATACATTCAAAGATATAAAAGTAAAGGAAGATTTACACTGGAATGATGCCAATAATACTGTGACATTTTTCTCAACAAATACCTGGACATTTGTGCCGGAGAAATCTAAGGGGAGCTTGGATGATATGGTCCGAATGGCACATTTTCCAACGGCTGTGAGTTGAATAAAAATTAAAATTTTGATATTAATTTGGGGAAATGATGAAGATTTTATTTTTTATTTTAGGCTGCGGCAAAAATCTCTCGTCGCTGGCATCGAATTGTACGGAAGGTCATTAATTTTGGTTTGGAGCGGGAAGGTGGTGCAATCTCAATGACCTATAACGCCATGGATTGGTTGTTTGATGGCTTCGTCGATAGGCTAGTCGATTTTGCTTATCGATTACATTCACCGCTATTTCCACTGACATCAGATCGTTTCGGTTGGTTCTATGAGCGGAACAATTCTAAAGAGGCTGAGGGCACCTACACCATTTCCACGGGGAAGGGTAATTTGATAGATAGAGGTGAAACCCGATTGTGGAATGGTACAGCTCAAACGAAATATTGGGAAGGTGAATGTGGCCGAGTGAATGGCAGTCTTGGTGATTTATGGGCACCGGGAAGATCATGGGATGATCCCGTCTCTATTTTCCTTTATGACGCTGGGCGTTTTTTAAATATTTTCCCCATTCAAAATGAAACGTATCGGGGTGTTGATGTCCGCCGTTATGAATCGACAAATAGGACACTTGATAATGGCCAGATTGTAGAGGATACGAAATGTTTTTGTGTCAAAAATAATGAATGTCCTGACAATGGTGTGTTGGATTTTTCACCAAAGGCATATCGGGCGCCGGTCTATATGTCACATCCACATTTTTATATGGCTCCAGAGAAGTATAGAGAAAATACGACAGGTTTGAAACCCGACACGGAGCATGGTACGTATGTGATAATGGAGCCCAAGTGGGGTTTACCCATGAAGGTCAAGGGTCAGATGATGGCTAGTATTCTAATGGAAAGGGATGAACAATTGGAGTAAGTTTTGGAGGGGCAGGGAGTGGGGAATTTTGATAATTATGTTGAATTCTCTGTTTTACAGTATACTCAAAAACCTGGCTCACAATTTCTATGCTCCTCTACTGAGAATTTCTCTTGATGCCGAAATCGATGATGAAATGTTGGACTTGGTTAAGGTATGTGTGTGGAGGATTTTTTTATACAGCTCTTTAATGAATGAGAAAAAAAAATTTTTTCCTCTTACAGCTGATGTTAAAGCTTCCCTCGATAGGGGTATATATAGGTGCGGGATTTTTAACCATCGGCCTTGTGATGCTTATTTTTGGCTTCTATGCCACCAAAACCCATAAATGGCGTGGTGATATTTATCCGGGAGTAAATGCTGAAAATCCTGTAGTGATGTCTTCCAATGAAAAGATGGCAGCCTCAGGTGGAAACTCCGAAAACATCAATGAGAAAGTATCGGTAGAAGAAAATACCACCAATGAACAGGCTGTGGAGGATAGTATTTCCCAATCAGAAACTATTACAGAAGAAGCCAGTGAATCCAGAGGAGTTTCAGAGGAAAATACGAAAATAGATCCTATAGCGGAAGGCGATAAAACAAACGAAAACAAAAAGACTGATTAGGAGCCATGAGAAGGACCCTCCATTGAAGCATACACAATCCGACGAAATTGAATGCATTCAATTTTGATTTATTTAAAGGCAAATTTATAATAATTAGGGCCATGTATATATTTAGTTAGTAATACTAGTAAAATCTTGTGATCTAGACTCTAAGAAGAAAATTTCTTTGCGTGTTTTTTTTGTATCTGACAAAGGAAATATACAAAAACAAATAAAAAATATCGAAAATAGTACAAAATCTCATTAAGTACCTAGATTTCTTAAAAACGTATGGCTTGTTACAGAACGGTTGTTTCATAAGAAAGCTTAAAAAAGTTTTCCAAGCACGTCGGTCTTGTGCGCATCCCCTCCAATTTGAAAGACCACGTTCCAAGATGTTGTTTTCTACTTGGTCTTCCCATCTGATTCGTGGTCTTCCCCTTCTACGGGAACCATCAGTAGGCTCGCTTTTAAATGCCTTTTTAGCTGGGGCATTCTCATTCATTCGCATCGTATTCGCTGCAGCTCAATACGACTGACTATGTCGATGTCCGCGTATAAATTGTAAAGTTCATTCGACGTCGATATTCACCGTCGACGCAGATCGGCCCGTAGATCTTTCGGAAAATTTTTCTTTCAAAGAGCTGCTTCATCTACTTACGCAAGTACCCATGCTTCAGATCCATATAACAGCAGCGTCTTGTAAAGTGTGAGTTTGGTCTGGCGGGTGGTGGCCTTGTTTCTAAACTGCTTACTTAGACCACAGTAGCATCTGTTGGTCATCACAATCCTTATCCGAATTTCAAAACTGATGTCATTCGTGTTTTATGGCGGTACCAATGTATATAAAATCTTTAACTACCTCGAAGCTGCCATTATGTCGATGCCATCGGCGTAGGCGAGTAACATGTGTTGTTTGGTGTACCGGGTGCCATTTCTATTCACCTTTGCGTCTCGTATGACCTCTTCCAGCAGGATGTTAAACAGGTCACACGACAAACTGTCATCTAGTCTGAATTCTCGTTCGGTATTAAAGGGCTCCGATAGGTCCTGTCCGACTTAACTGCTGACTTTGTGCCACTTAAAGTTATCCTGCATAGCCGTATTAATTTTGCAGGAATGCCGAACCCGACATGGCTTTAAACATATCTCAACGGATAGGGCTGTCAAATGCGGCTTTATAGTCGACGAATAGGTGGTATATGTCGATATGTTTTTCTTAGGTCTTTTCCAGGATTTGGCGCAGAGTGAAAATCTGGACAATGGTGGATTTGCCAGGTATGGTAAATGATCCAATAATGTCATTGACCATAGCACTTTATATGCGATGAGAAGAAGGCTAATTCCTCTATAGTTGGCACATATCGTCTTGTCTCCTTTTTTGTGCACGGGACACAGGATGCTAAGGTTCCAATCATTGGGCATGCATTCCTCTAGCCAAATTGTACTAATCAGCTGGTGCATGCTCCTGACCAGCATCTGACCACCAGTCTTGAATAGTTCGGCTGGTAACCCATCGGCTCCTGCTGCTTTATTCTTCTTTAGCCGATTAATATATCTTCTGATCTTATCTTGGCAAGGTGGTATACAATCTATACCGTCATCGATTATTGGTTCCGGGGTATCTTCTTTACCGTCATTATTTGCTACCAGAAACTTTTCAAAATGCTACTTCCATATCCTCAGCACGCTGTCTGTATCTGTCTACAGGATGATGTGCCTTCAACAAAAACTTCGGTTTGGTGTTTTACTCGTTGGTAAAATTTCCGGACTTCATTCTGACTCCTACACATTACGATTTGCTCACGTTTTTCTTGTTCTTCTTTTTTTGGGAAAACACGTTTTCCTCTTTCCTTTTCTCCCGATAATTCTCCATCACATTACGTGTTGCTATTGTCTGCATTATGACACTCCTGATCGTACCACGGATTTCTTGATGGTGGTCTTTGGTACCGCGAAGTCAATCAGCCTCATGCCGGTGTCTGATGTTCCTTCATGGAGGTTGAATTTTCCGACGGTGGGGCCAAAGATATTTTCCGTTCGATTTTTGCATTAAAATCTCCTAGTAGAATTATAATGTCATGGCCAGGGCAACCGTCAAATGCTGTTTTATGCGCTCCTAAAATATGTCTTTTGTCTGTTCATCTTTATCTTCGGTCGGGGCATGGACGCAAATGAGACTGATGTAGAAGAACTTCGCTTTTATACCGATTATAGCAATTCGCTCATCTACTGTTGTGAATTTGGAGACGAGCCATAAACCATACCGCAGCCATAAAATAAATCCGCAGCCAAATTCACGTCTGGTTTCATGAGAGCTTTAATACAAGGCGTAATAATCTGATTTACTTACACCTGTCCCTTTCCATCGCATTTCCTGTAAGGCAATAATATCGGCTTTGTATTTTTTGAGTACATTTGCCAAAGCGAACACTGCGCCCGTTCTACCCATTTTTTTATAATTTTTTCGGTGAACTCGCGCCACATATTAGCTCACCCCAGGTGACACCGCAAGGAGGTCAATGTCCACAATTGAGATGAAAGAGGGACCAAGATAAGCCTGGACTTCGCCATGTTAAAGCCAATCAGAGCCGTTGCTTGGTATCCATCATCCCCTACGCCACGCGATGATAGAACGCCTGGTCCTTTAAAAAAAAAAAATACTTTCTCAAGTCGAACACAAGGCATGGATTTAAAAATAAAATTTATTTCTAAATGTCATCGATATGATTTTGCAAAAATTAATTAACTGACCCAATTTTAAAATATTTGTTTTCATTAACCTTTTCGTGTCCCGCAACCACTATTATTTCAACAGAGCTTAACTTAAAATTTCAAAAAACATCCTTCACTCTAAAAAAGTTAAAAGTTTTCTAGAACGTTACATTGCATGTTATATGATTATAAATTTTTCTCCATTTGACTTCTATTTAAAGTCATATTTTTTCATATTATATTTCACGAAACCATCGTTAAATAAATAAAAATAAAAAATACTAAATCTGCTGCCACAACGGATGCCATATTTTAACATTGTTATTATTCTGCAGTTATCCAAAGTTAAAATTAAAAAAATTTGAAAACAGGTCGTTTTGCTCGAATTACAAGTTGATTTGTGGGTTTTGGAAAATCGCAACGTTTATAAATGTTACAGGAAACGTAACGTATTTGTTAGCAGCGATAACGTGTTACGTGGCACAAAGTCCGGAAACGGGCTAAACATGTCATCTAGCGGGGCTTAAGAAATGTTTTTCGATAAACACATTATGCGTGACAAATTGTGCAGATTGTTTTGAGGAAAGAAAACCTATGAAATTTGAACAAGAACGAAAAATTAACAGTTGGCCTTGTATGGGTCATTGAAAAAATATTTTTTAAAAAATCCACGCCTGGTATGGGTCTTTGAAAAAATATTCTTTAAAAAATCCACGCCTTGTATGGGTCTTTGAAAAAATATTTTTTAAAAAATCCACGCCTGGTATGGGTCTTTGAAAAAATATTCTTTAAAAAATCCACGCCTTGTATGGGTCATTGAAAAAATATTCTTTAAAAAATCCACGCCTTGTATGGGTCATTGAAAAAATATTCTTTAAAAAATCCACACCTTGTATGGATGCTTGAATAAATATTCTTTAAAAAATCCACCCCTTGTTGTGGTCCTTGAAAAATATGCTTTAAAAAAACCACGCCTTGTTGTGGTCCTTGAAAAAATATTCTTTAAAAAATCCACGCCTTGTTGTGGTCCTTGAAAAAATATGCTTTAAAAAAACCACGCCTTGTTGTGGTCCTTGAAAAAATATTCTTTAAAAAATCCACGCCTTGTTGTGGTCCTTAAAAAAATATTCTTTAAAAAATCCACGCCTTGTTGTGGTCCTTAAAAAAATATTTTTTAAAAAATCCACCCCTTGTTGTGGTCCTTGAAAAAATATGCTTTAAAAATCCACGCCTTGTATGGGTCATTGAAAAAATATTCTTTAAAAATCCACGCCTTGTATGGGTCATTGAAAAAATATTCTTTAAAAATCCACGCCTTGTATGGGTCATTGAAAAAATATTCTTTAAAAATCCACGCCTTGTATGGGTCATTGAAAAAATATTCTTTAAAAAATCCACGCCTTGTATGGGTCATTGAAAAATATTCTTTAAAAAATCCACGCCTTGTATGGGTCATTGAAAAATATTCTTTAAAAAATCCACGCCTTGTATGGGTCATTGAAAAAATATTCTTTAAAAAATCCACGCCTTGTATGGGTCATTGAAAAAATATTCTTTAAAAAATCCACGCCTTGTGTTGGTGGCTTGAAAAAATATTCTTAAAAAAATCCACGCCTTGTTGTGGTCCTTGAAAAAATATTCTTTAAAAAATCAACGCCTTATATCCTCACTTCTCTTAATCGTTGGAACAATAAGAAGTCCTTAAATATCGTTTATCCTTTTTTTCCAGTTGACTTACCATTCATGTTGTTATAGTTTCATCCTCCTGTAAAAAAAGAAATGAAGTATGTATTAAAGTTTTCTGTTGCAGTTGTTGTTGTTAGAAGCTGATTAGTTGTTGCTTTGACTGTTGTCGTTTTTAGTGTTGCTGTTGTTGTTAAACTTTTTATGGAACGAAGGATGTTGTTAATCAACATGAAAACGTGTTTCATGTACTTTGTAACGTTTTATTTGCTCTTGAAAATTCATGTACTTTTGTACTCGTTCATTTTTTTTTAGATTTTGAGTAGTTGTTATAAAGTTGATGGAATTGCAAGATTGAATGCAAAACTGAAAATTGAAATAATAAAAAAATGCAATAAAGGATATTGCTGAGACTTCGAGATGATGTCTTGGATTTTGCAGAAATTCAAAAATAGATCTCAGAATATGAGAGTTGTAAAATTCGGTTATAGAACAAGGAAGCCCATGTTAAATTAACACACTCACATATACATAACGTATTGTGTGCTATCGAATCCACAATCAAGGATATGGCCAGTCACACACATTAGCCGTAACGAGATTAGACTCTCCATTACATTGTT